GGTGTTTCAAGACCTCTGTAAATGACGTTGGGGTTTTTCAGTGACTGTGAGCAGCATGTGGAAAACCAACTGGACAGCTCCAGCATGCAGAGGATGGGACTGGAGACGGCATAGACCTTTGACTCTTCCGTGTTTGGTTGTAGTGGACCCACCGTGAGAAGCTGATCCAAAGCATTGCAAGTGAAGATGTGGGTCACTGCTATTTGCTGCCAGCAGATTTCCTGTTCAGCTCAGCAGGTTTCCTTGTTAGGGAAGAAAAGCAAAGGCAACAGCGTTAAAGGGAAATGGGGACGTTGGTAGCAGACTCATTTGCAGCTGTGGAGAGATGTCCAGGAAACTTTGGCCTTTGGCTCAAGAGTTTGGCAGCTATTTAATGTCAAAGAAAGATGGGTCCTTCATGAGGACACTTGAGATGCAGAATTTGCCTGTTTCCCATAATACTGCATCAGACAGCTATAGTTTAATAGGGGATGCCTTGTCGTTTTGTCCTTCAATAACAGGAATGCTGTCTGCTTGCTTTGCTTTCTGGCCATTTATGTCTTCATAGGGCAGAAGCTGGCATCAGCCTTAAGGATATTTTCAATTTTGTCGTAAACAAGTTTTGCTGTATAAAAACTCTCCCTGCTGTTTTTTGTAGCAGAAAAACATATATGCCGTTGTAGCAGGGAGAGAGGCATGGGATGTTTGCTTTCCCTCGGTGTTGTCACTGCACCTCGAGTGTGTGCTGTGTCCTCAGATGCTGAACCCTTACATCGGGCACCAAGCAGAGGTGGTTGGGGCAGTGCCTTGCAGATCTGCTGGCACCCGAGGGTATGTGTGTTGCTTCTGTAAATTCAATGATCCTTTAAACTCACCGTGGTCTGAGTAGAAAACTACTTCCCAGAGGTATCGTTTTTCCCGTAAGTTTTGCAGGAACACCCAAACTGAAAGCAGAGGTCCCTTGCCTGGGGGACACAGCAAGATTAACTCAACTGGCCGGCCTTCCCAGTAAAAACAGGAAAAGAATTAGAGGGGTTTATATTTCTGACCCGGGATCCGTCACTCGCCACAGCAGACAGGAAAGTTGCCCTCCTGGTATTTCACACGGCACGTCCTAATTCCTCCTCTAAGCAGAGGGCTTGAGTCATTGCTTTTTAATCAGACTGCCTCCCCACGGGCGGAAGCTGCAGCGATCAATGCGGCTTACTCGGTTCTCGAAAAGGTCATTAAAAGACCATAGATATAAATTTAAAAGAGTGTTTGTTCACATCCTTAATGTTAAAGATGTTCTTCTGCCTCACTTCCTTAAGTAGCATCGTACGAAGCCGGCGCGTGTTGGGCCTGCCTGACAGCAGAGTGGAAAGAGCACGGCATCGCTGTTAGTCTGCCCTCAGCTCCGAGGGAAGGTGGGAGAGAAAATAAATGGTCAAAAATCACACTTTTGTCACCACTTGGAGCAGAGCTTGTTTTGCTGACAACTCCAGATACACTCTGTAATATCGACCTTGGTGCCCCATAACTATATAGGACAGAATAAATTCTTTTTTGGTTTTCCCTTTTCCCCCCTTCGTTCCTGCATTCCTTCCTCCCTCCCTCGCTGTGGTACTGGATTACTGCCCAAAGTATTGCACGTATCATCCCTTTAGCAGCTATATTTTTCCGAAATGTGGGTACTGTGAAGGAATGCAAAAACTCTCCGTTGCTGCCGGTATGATATATTTAACAGTTCAGGAGGATGTAAGTGTCTCAGGTTCCAGTTGTTGAGACGTGAAATGCCACATCCAGCTCCGTCAGGTTTTTGCCATTAGTTGCATCAGGCCCGGGTGAACTGAAAGCATGATGGCTTGCGTTCGTGTTTCTAGGGGTGGCTTTCTGGTGCTCCAGTCCAGGCGCATTGACTGTGTGAAGGTGGTACCCCTGGAGCACATGTGCCCCCAGTTCTGACCTCTGGGCACGGCTGGTTTGTCAGTGCTGCTCCTGGGGGTGACAGCCCGGTGCTGCTGTCCCCAGCTGGGAAAGGTTGGGAGGCTCCAGGTTGCTCTCTGCTGGGCTGTCTGAAAGGGGAAGGATGGGGAGGATTGGTCCCATGGCTGCAGTGTGGGGCTGGAGAGGTGGCTCCCAGTCCTGATGCTGCCTGTATGACAGTGCCTGTATGTCTCTAGGCATTTGTCTTTCTCTGTTTTTTTAACCTAAGACAAGGTTATTGTGTTCATAGCTCATGGGGTATGCTGAGCATAGATTAATGGCTCATTTATACCCAAACTGTGTAGAAGTAAGGGAAGCCAGGCTGCACAAATACCTGAATGTATGTGTAAGGACTCAAGTATTTTGCTCACCTTCTTTTTTGGAGAAGAAATGGTCTTTTTTTTTTTCCTGTCCTTAAACTGTAAAGTTATTTTCCTGTCAGGACATACCACTTCTCCAAGAGCTTTCCATCTTTGAGCATCATCCCCTCGCCAGTGTGTAGCAGGTGACAGGATTAGACCAAAGCCCACTGTCGCAAAGCCAGCAATCGCTCTTCTCCAACGCCCACAGGGTCTTCTCCCCATATGAAGTTTTGCGTTCACAGCCCATACAGTTAAATGTGCCAGAGTTCTCCCCACCTGATAACTTTCATTTTCAGTTTTCTGTCTTCTTCACCCACATAAACATCCATCTCCGATCACCTAATAATTCATAAACACCATATTCTCTCCCATGCTGTATTTAGTACTATGTCTTCTTCCATTATGTTCTGCCAACTTCCCGCCCTGTACATAAACAAACGTGAACTTTTCCTGTTTTCCATTTGCTTACAAGCACACACAAGCAACACAAACACTCCCACGTACTAAAACACGCAGAGGCACACTTTCTGCCATTAGCCGAATGCCTGCCCATCACCTTCGGGTATCAGCGGAAACCACAGGCAAAATCAGAGCCTGAAAACCACTATTTTGCACCCGCGTGTGTGATCTCAGTGCATCAGAAAGCAGCATGGCTTTATTTATTTTGTAGCTGTTATAGCTGCCTGAACTGTTCATTTGTTAACAGTCTTTTCTAAGAATTGAACCTTTTTTGTGGTTAGCAGATCCCCAGTGACAGAATCCACATTTCTGCAAGTATACTTGTTAATCTTAAATATTCTATGAATGGTTTTGAAGAAAGAACTTGAGAAATAACTGCTCTTTAATAATCAAAGCTTGCCTCTGCTTTGATTTCATCAGTATATATCAGAAACTTCCTGTCTTAATAAGTGGATTTACCCGAGAGTAAAAATCAAGAGGAAACCCTCAGTATGTGTTTGGCCACTTAAGTTATTTCCTACTTTTTTTTTTTTTTCCCCCCAAAAAATGGTGGTTTTAAACAGGTCCTAAAGGCAGAAGTATGAAATTTTTCACTTTGATTGAATAAACACTCATACTGATATCTGGGTAGATGTCTCCCCAGTCTGTAGCTGAATTAAGATAAGAGTTTGTGCTACCTGAATCCTCTAATTTAGCTTAGAGGAGCGACAGATTATTGCCAACAGGAATCAGGTGAAGAAGCAATGAGAAAGCCAGTTGTGTTGTGTTCTTGTTCCATTGAGTTTCACTCCCCATTTCGAGTGTGCCAACAAAGAATCAAATCCCTGTGCTGTTAGCGTGCAATTTCTCCCGTGGCAGTTATTTTGCAGACATAGTATCCATGAGAAACAGCTTTGTTGTAAAATACAGTGTGTGATACTGGAGTTTAAGTCATGCTGGTTAATTTAATGAATGTTGTAAGCAGATACTTATTTCATGAAGTTGAAGATTTCCGTAACTACAGACCATTGATACCTACTTCAATGGCATTGTTGCTCAGTGTAGTAGATACATCTCTTCGTAGTACCCAGTTCATTAATACATGCTTTTTGACCAAGTTCCCGTGACAAAAAGTCATGTATATTACTGTCAGTAATTGGGGCAATATGAGCGTAGTAAGTAGAGGACTGGCGTGGGTTAGGAAAGAGCTGGGTTGCATTATGGGCTCTGCAATTAGCCTGATTGATGACTTTGAGCAAATCATTTTGCCTTTGCCACTCCGTGGCTTTACAAATTGGCACAATGAGGATAATGGTAATGAGTTTCTTTGTGGAACGTTTTGAGTTCTGATAATGTAATAGACATTGTAAAAGAGCTAAACATTTATATTAGGCTTATATTATTTCTGTGCTGCATATTAAAAAATATTCCTCATTTATAGATGCACAGGATTTAGGTAATTATGGGGTTTGCATTAATATGTAACAGTTTGCTAATTCTGTGTGTATTTCCATGCTAATACCGTGCTCTGGTGCTGTGGTGTGGATCCTGTTTTCTGCACTCTCCTGGAAAGGAAGAAACCTTCCTTTTAACTTACTGTTTTAATACCCATATGCAAAGTGGATAACTTATTTACCTATCACTGAAACATCCCCAATCCAGTTCTGTCTTGAATCAATAGGCAAATTCCCCTTTGGCTCCGGCTGCAGTTGGATTGAGCTCAGGGCTGTTGGGGAGGTAATCAGTGTTTGCAGGGTATTTTAAGTTTCTTAAATGAACCGTGCCACAGATTTGCAGGTAAGGCTGCCCCTGCCTTGGGGCGGGGGAGGAGGTGTGCTCAGAGGCTAAGCACAGCGAAGCGCAGGGCTGGCACCCCCTGCACGCGGTGAGGATTGATGGACAGTGGCAGTGTCGCTGCGATGCCATCTCTGTGGTGGGCATAGGTGTCGGCAGCCACACGCCCGAGCGCGTGGTTTTCATCAGCAAATAGTTAAGCTGTCACATAGTCAAAATCTGCACCTATCCCAGAGCTGTGCATGAATCAGGCATGGACATAGGTAGCAGTGATTTTGGTCACACAAAAAAGACACCCAACCAAAAATTAGTCCCATTAAAACAAGGAAGGATTATTCTGAGGACCTGCTTGTCCTAAAACTTGCTTTCTGGGCAGCCAAAGCTTGTTTGAGTACCTCCTTCTCTGACCTTTGCTACAGCTTTTGTTGTACCAATCACTTAATATTTCCTCTTGTCTTGCAGGGAACTGAGCGATAGGACCACATACACATACCAGGTCGTAGTTGTTTCCGGGACGGAGGAGAGCGAACCTTCCCCCACGCTTGTGTATGTCTCCGGAAGTGGATACTGTGGAGACGGGATTATCCAAATGTAAGTCTGGAGTGAGCAAACAGATAAATCAGGGCACACGTACTCAGCCAGCATCTGAGACTAGAAAGGAATTGATGACCTCTGATGTCTCCTTAGTTTAGGCCGGCTCTCATCTGTAGATAATGACTCATGTGCTTGATGATTACCAGGATGATGACATTTAATTGGAACTTAGGCCCTGCTATCCTGGCACCAGTAGATACAGACAGAGATACAGATAATGGAGTCCAGACAGCAGGATCGATAGGAAAGTACGCTATATGCTGTTTGTTTGTGTATCCATATCTTTATGCATGTGCATGATATTTCCCTTCTGGAGCTGAAGTAAGTGATGGAAAAATTCAGTCTTTGATGCTGTCTTTATACATTAAGTCCTCTGTGTGTCAACTGGTGGACAAGGTGAAACCCCTGTTACCTGGTGGGGCAGGTTCCTGGTGCAACCTCTTGTTTGACCAACCGCTGGAGCTGGGATGCATTTGGAGGTGATAGATTTGGCCTCTGAGGGAGAGTGCTGGGAATTGCATGTTCTCAATCAGCTCCTTGCTCTCACTGGCTGCCAATCCTCAGACCACTGAAAATGTAAAACAATCAGTCACAACTATGTTAGGGTTTATTCTTTTAGCGTTGGCGCTTAATGCCACCTGCTTCAAAGCTTCCTGGCATTAGAAAATTTAATTATTTAAACAATGGAAGTAACAACAAGCAAGTGCTTAATCCAGCCAGTATTATTTGCTTGAAATAATGCTGATCAGCAATCACATAGTACAACTCTGTCAGATGATATACCTGCAAAAGTATTTGCAGGATGAAGCCCAACAGTCAGGGAAATCAAAGAGAACAATCAAACGACATACAAATCCAGGGCAGTCTTGGAGAGAGAGGTGGAGAAAGACAGATTAATTTTGCTTTCCATAACTTTTCTCCTACTGTTATGTTTGCACATTCCTCAAACATCACTTGTGGCTTTGCAGCAAGCGTCGAACAATAGCTGAGCTGCTTCAGGAGCGAGCAGGAACCAGACTGTGTCACAGCTTGGTTGGTTGTGGCCTCGCTTGCAGCTGTGGCAGCCCCTTTCTCAGCTGGTTCTCACTCTCCTCCCCACACGCTGCTGCAACCCTGCAGGCTGGTGCAAGGCAGGACCCTGGCCCCGACACCTCCTGCTCCCCATCAACTGCGCTGCTTGGAGTGTTGTCACCTGGAATAGCCCAGCACCAGGCTTTATGCCTTGTTATTCCCATGCTGGGGTCACAGTCTGGCCCTTCCAAATTTAATACAAAGAGTTTCAGAGATTCCTGTTCTCTTTTTCCCCACCTGCTGAGTTGCAGCCACAGCATCTCTGAAGGAAGTTGCTCATATCCTCATCAGAGAACAGCAAGTGGTATCCACATGTGCAGGAGAGAAGTTGCCAGGCAAGCTTGTGAACCAGGAATGATGAAAGTCAGAGCTGGAGGAGAAAGGGAGAGGTATTTTAAGGGTCTACACACAAAGCTGCTGTACTACATTTCTGGGCTTTAGGGTTCCGCAGAGGGGTTGCAGAGGTTGTCGGGATGATGCCATTTGTCAGCTGACTCCTTTTTGCATGCGTATGCCCTACAGAGACTTGGGGGAAGAATGTGATGATATGAACAAGATCAACGGCGATGGCTGCTCCCTGTTCTGCCTGCAGGAGTTATCCTTTAACTGCGTCGGTAAGTCTGGCTCAGAGCCCTTCCGCTCATGGTGGGCAACAACTCTACACAGGGTGTGGGGAAAAAAATCAGCAGTATTTTCAGATTTCCAGCTGAAGAGTTGTCATGGAAGAGAGAGGAAAAAGTGGAATTTGTAGGTTTGAAAGGCGAACATATCTTCCCAGCTTCTGGTCGTTTTGATGGGAAATTGGTTCTGCTGGCTTTGAAACGGCCTAGGACTTAAGGCTAAGTCAGCCATTGTGGGCCTGATCCAAAGCCCATTGAAGTCAGTGGGTGGTTTTCCACTGGCTTCAATAGGCTTTAGATCTGGCTACGTGAGAAGACATGAACTGATTTTTTCTGGTAAACAGGAGGAGGAGTGAAAGGGGAAGGGACTGAGACCAGAAGCAAGTCCAGCTGAGGTCACACCTCCATTGAGTTGCAAATCAATATCTGAGGATCAAAGGTCTAGCTAATCCCCTTTTTCAGAGGTGAAAACTACTTAATCAGATTTCATTTGAAAGCCTGGTTTGCTCTGATTAGCAAAACCTGTAAGCACAATGGCCGGAAGATGCTGAAGCTATCGGGATAGCAGGGCTGCAGTTGTGAGCTTTACATATTTATTAAACTCTCTAGGAATGCTGGGGGCAGAGAAGGGAAATGGACACCAATTTACACTGCACCTTCTGTGGGGTAGCCCTGCCCTGTGGGATTGTTTTTCCCAACCAGGGCTCAGTGAGTTCTGGGGAAGGATGAAACACGCGGAGCTTCTGAAACCAAAGTTAATGTTTATAAAGGGTCGGCTTTTTCTCAGGATAATTTATGAGATTCCTTATCTAGACTGACCAAACAAATACTCTGTCCCATCTAGTGATTCCATGCCTTCAGCTCAGGGCGTCTATCTAAGCAGATAATACAGTGTTGGCAAGACTGAAATTTGCTCTTTTTTGGCAATCTAACAATCATCTCTTGTGCCTGGAACAACGTATAAAGGACCTCACAGGCACCATGTTTCCCTTGGGTGGTAAGCTGGGGACTGCTTGTCTTGTCATAGCGGCTACATTTTTACTTCAGCATCCCACGCCGTGAGACGTGAGGCCCAATTTGGTGATGTACTTATTTACATATTTACATATGTAAATAGCTCTATTGAAATCTAAGTGTATTTATGGTCGAGGCTAATTGTGACTATTGGTGGTCTTGAAGTTAACGTTTGTATTTTAAGTAACTTGCTGCATCAGAGCCTTAAGCACTGAAAGATATTAGTCATAATATTTTGAAAGTGAGATAAACACTTATGCAAATGTTTTGGGTTCTCCAGAAGTCTGGCACAGTGTAGGGCTGGTTCCAGGGAGGGTTTGGGGTTGCATCTATATCCCCCTGCTCAGCAGCAGCTCTGAGTTCCTTGGTCCAGGTCTATACCTGGAGCTCATCCCAGCATTTCGTTGGGGCGTGACCCAGGTCCTCCCCTGTGTACATTGGTTCTCAAGGAAACTGGGTTGTGTGGGCTGAGCAGGAGCTGCATCGTACCCTAAGTAAATCCCCGGAAAGGAGTAAGAGCGGTGTGTCCCAAGCCTCGGACCACACAGCGATGCCCTGCCTGGTGGGTGCAGGAGCCTGCTTTATGCCTCTGTACACCTTCATCTCCAGGACCTGCAACAGGGCTGGTTAAGAGTGTGGGAAAAAACCTGTCTGACAGCAATACGATTAGAAAATGAAGCAACTACAACACGCACAGTTTTTTCTGCACTATTAGAGAGGAAGTGATCTTTCAGATTTGCTTGTGTTGAAAAGGAAAGGGGAATTCCAGAGGTAAAAAGTTGTTTGTTTATCATGGGCTTTGGAAGGTTGTGTTTTTGCACGGGTCCTGGATTACAAAAGTGAATAGAATCAACTTGTTTGTGAAATACATAATATGGGGGCTCACTTAGCTGAATCAATGGAAAAGCATGTGGACCCAGACCTCACCAATGTTTCAGTTGTGTGTCTGTACCATTGTGGTGGTGAGACTGCTGTGGTGGTGGTGGCCTCCCTGCGCACGCAGCGTCTGCGAGGGCGGACCGGCTGCTGTTGTTTTCAAGCAATCCCTGCCTTCATCATGTCCCTAGGGAAGGTTCAGAGAAGGTAATACCCGTGAAACAGGTCCTGTGGGCTTTTATGGGTGCTGGACCACCATGAATTAGGACATCAAAAGGTAGAGAGAAACTGCTGGCTAATCTTTCAGACAAATGAACAGGGCGGATTTGTGTTCTGTTTTAACATAGCAAGTATTAAAATCTCACCAGAAAACATAAAGATGTTGGGGAAGCGAGTGGCTGTACATATTACATAATGAATGATAATTAAAAAGAGCAGAAATTCAGCATTCTCTACAATCTAATTATATCAAACCGGATCCTCTGCCTTTGGCAAAACAAAAGTCATCTTTGAGACTGGTGGGGTGTTTTCCTGGAAAATACAGAATGCTTGGGTCTCTGTTTGAGGAGCACAGAAAAATAAGTGTAATTTATTTCCATGTTTACAAGGCTAACACATGTTATAATCCTGTAGGACAACAAGTAATTATTTCAGCCAGTGTTATTTTTGCAGTGATGTTCTTGCTGTATTATGTAGCTCTTTAGAGCCCCGGGAATCACTCCCCTTCACCAAAGAATTCAGTGAGCCTCAAACACATGTTCAGAGGCTTTGCTGAATTGGGGGCCTCAGGGTTTGATCTTGCAAATGCTTCCTTCCAGGCATGTTTCTGAACAAGGCATTCTTTAGACTTCAGCAAATCTAACCACAACAGTCAATGCAATGCTTGTCACAAATTGTCTGCAGGATCGGGTCCCACATGGCTGAAAATAATCACTAAACATTTTGTTTGCAGAGGCAGGGCTGACGGGGCGTCATCGGCGGGGGGTGTGGTTCCGTAGCAGGAGCCTGGATAGCAAGGCCCAAACTGGCTTCTTCCTTCCAAAGCAGTCACCTGGCTCCATAGAAGAGAAATATAACAGAGCCCGTAAACACCATCACGTTTAGATTTAGAGGCACAAAACGCAGAATAATTTAGGCTCGGAGGAGTCTCTGGAGGTCTCTGGTCCAAGGAGGGCCAACTTCAAAGTTAGATCCAGCTTCAAAGGTGGAGCGTGTTGCTGAGGGTCATGCCCAGCTGCGTTCCGGATACCTCCACGGATGAAGGCAGCCTGTTTGCAGGTGTCCCCCTACCCCTCTTGCTGCCTTTGCCTTTTAGGATCATGAGGTTTATGGGTTTTTTGATTGGTCCAACTTTCCTTTCAATGAATGACACAAGGCTCTCAGGACACTTTGCAGTAGTGCCTGTAATAAAATTAGACCTTTTTTTTTCCCTTGGTTTTGTTTTCCCTCCTCCTTTCCTCTCTAATCAGATAACAGTGGATCAATCTGCTCTGCCATGGGAGGAGGGGCACGGGGGAAGGAAGGAGGGAGGCAGGGAAGAAAACTGTGTGGTCTTACTGTCAGGCTGTCCTGGCCTTCTCTGGACACAAAGCCGAGTAACAGAAAACAGATAAGATTAATAGCGTTTTCTTCCTGCAACATGCTGAAGAGCGACAGTGAGATTAATTAATTAATTAATGGAAGCATCTGGCAGTACTCCTTTTTAAAGTTCTGCAGTACACTCACTCTTCCTCATCCTGAAATTTATCATCTCTACTTCTTTTTGCCCTTTGCGTAGAGGATTTTGCATATATTATCTCCTCCGCACAGACTTTGGTCCCACGGGGAAAGTTTCACTTTGCCTTTTGATTTGTAGAACCCGAGCGAACCAAACCCGTGTCCGCTGTGACTGATGCACCCCTCTCCTACTTGTTGGCTGCTTTTCTTTTCACCTCGCTCTTGGTTACTCCCGGGATAACCGATTTTTGCGATTACTGAGGATCTCAGCCAAGTTCAAGCTGATGCGTCCTGTGTAAAACAGTCCCCAGTCATAAGAGTTATGATTTGCAGTTGTGGGAACCCAGAGCTTTTTAGCACTGGATCCATTCCCACTGGACCACTGAGAAATGGGTGTCTAACAAGCACCTTGTCCTTGGTGCGCGCTCTCCCACGCGCCAACATGCACCTAGATATATGTGCGGACGTTGAAAAAGAGCGCTGCTGTAATTTGCATTCCTTTTGTTGAGTGTGATGTGCATTATGCATTGATTTAGCTCGCCAGTGCTGAAGAAAGAGAAGGATATAATAAAAAAGATGCAGAGATCAATAAAAAAGAAGGGAGGGGGGAGAGAAAGTAATATGAAAAGAGATGAGTAAAGGCTGATAGACACATTGAAACACAGCTGGGAAGTCGCTTCAGAACTTCTATCTGCCCTTAAGTTTTCCTGGTAATTTATGGGGTTTTCAGTCGCATCTTATTGGTGTTATTATTGCTACACTTTATCTCCCTTGCTTATAAGGGACTCTTTGCTAAAGCCTTTCTACAGCAAAACAGGGCAGCGCTTCCGCCGACTTCCACATGCGAGCGGTCCCGCTGAAGGAGGTGAATGTTTCCGCTCAGACACACATCTCTCTGGTTGGTTGGATCTGGGCCTCAGGGATGTACAATACAAAGAAAAGGCACAGAGCAGAGGAAAAGAGAAAATAAACGTATCTAGCTCTTGAATTTACCACCAATTTCTGGCATGCTTGAAGCGTTAGTCGCCAGTGGTTGTTCAGGGAGAAGTATGATTTTAATTTGACAATGATTCTTGAACACCTTTTCTTTCACTCCTGCTTGGCCTCAAGTGATTTCTTTGCTACGTTGCAAATCTGGATCTGCCCTTCTTTTCCTCAGAGGCCTCTCCCTCCAGCTGTGAGCCTTACCTTTGTGGGAGCTCTATCCTCTACCTCTCCCATTATCCATAAATTAAGCATAGCACTTTCCCCTAATCTTATTGTTTGGCGGGCTGCATTGCATTCAGGGAAATGATTAATATTCATGAGCTTGCTATCTCTGTTTGGTGCATAATCCTCTAGGGAAATTGCAGTGTTAAATGAGTGACACAAACCTAATTTTATATGTC